GGTAGGACCCAGCTCTGGATGTCATGGGCTTCGTAAGAGGAGACCATACACACTCAGGGCCCAGCTTGCCCTTCAGAACAGCAAACGGTGCTATTAAGTGGGTCCCGCGCCGACCGGGGTCGTTTGATCCCCCCTTGACAGATATCCGCCGTTTTGGAGCAAACAGCTGATCAGAGGGTCTTGAGAGTTCGACGGGCGTGAGGTCCGAAAAGAAATTGGGCATTTGAGGGCAGGGGAAGAACTGAAATAAAAAATAGTAAATTCTTCAACAAAAGTTGAGCACGGGGGGTTCGAAGCGTGGACCGAATTGGTAAAAAGAACAAAAGAACGACACATCTTTAAGACTTTTGCGGGTTTTTCCAGCGGTGAAAAAGGGCCTGCAAAGTGATTCTCCGGGAAAGAACGAGATTGGGCTTCAGGAAATAGAAGTCAGTGGGCCACAGATTGGGGCTTAGGGGTCGCTTACGTCAAAGGGGACAACTGTAGCTCATTATGAATTTTCGTAAAGAAAGTCAAAGCGGTGCCATCTTTCTCATTAATTGAGCTTTTATGCAGATTTTAGATGAAACATAATTTGCACAAATAAGTAGAGTGTCTGCTCTTCATTCACATCATGGTGGCAGATCTCAAATCAAATTTATCCACCTGGCAACCTCTTAAAAAAATGAAAATATCTCTAAGTCAATAGGTACATACTTCACCTAGAATTTAAAATTGGAATTGGGATAATCCGTGGGATAAAATTTTAACGTGTTAATCATATAGTTCACCTAGAATTTAAAATTGGAATTGGGATAATCCGTGGGATAAAATTTTAACGTGTTAATCATATAGAACTAAAACTAGAACAAAATTTTACCGTGTTAGTGAAGTAGAACTCTAACAAAACTAGAATTGGGATAATGATACAAAATCATCTCATTTTTTTTATTTTTCTATACAAAAATGAGAGTTCTAGTCTCTCAAATTATTCCAAGTTTCAGCTTGGAACTATGTGGTAAAAACTAGAACTCATATTTATTTTGTTATTTTTTATTTTTTATATTTTTTTTCTTTACTTCTTTCCTATTATGGTTATCACCATCATTAGACCATTATTATAATAATAATTATCAATATCTTATAGTCTAACCAAAAGTTATTTAATAGTAAATAACATTCTTGTAAGCAATTATCAATCAATAATAGTAAGTTTAAAATACATAAATAGTACTTATATCTTTAAAATGCATAAATATATATTTCATGATTATAAAAATTTATCTCACGTTATTTTATCAAAATATCCCGCTTCACAAAATTATTCCTATTTATCCCACTAAAATATCCCACTAGCGAAAAATTATTCCACTTTAACAATTATCCCATTTTACATGAAAATATCCCAATTGACTAACACCCCCCTTAGGGTCCAAGTTACCAAAGGCAAAGAAAAATATTTCGAGACAGATATCATGGAAAGTAGAAGCCAAGACCTCGCAAAGGTGTAAATTCTGAAAAACAGAAAACAGAAAAAGAAAAATATGATTCATGACAAAACGACCTGGATGATGCGAAAGAGACTGGTCCAAAAAAAAAAAAAAGTTAATAAAAACGGAAACTAGTTTCAAACATTTTCGCTGCAAACAAGAAATCTCTCTTAAGTATCAACTGCCCTCCTACAAAATTTCGTTCCAAACCTCGGTTGTAAAACATTTCTTTTCAAGCGCTAGCATTTACAACAAGGGAACGAATTTGCAATGTTCGGCATGACTAGGATTGTATGTGCATAAAAAGCCCCGACTTCAAAGCAAATGTTCAAGGAATTTTAACTTCCACGATACCAATATATATACAGCACAATATTAAAGATGACAAGAAATGCATCAGCAAAGGGCATGGTCCTTGTACAGGACCCTATGAAAACTGAATATCAAAGAAAACTGTGAAATAGGTTCCACATTTATCATGGAGATTAGTAACCCATATAAGATAAATAAAAGAAGATATATAGGCGAGTAGGGAGAAGGATAGCAATAAATAAAGCAAAAAAAAAAAAAAACGTGAAACAAAGATGAAAATAGAGCTCCAGGTGCTTCTGAATACAAGATCTCGGAATGATCTACCAGAATTTATAAGAGGACGGGATGGTGCAAATATGAAATTTATGAGACGTTACTAACGAGGTATAGGATGCTCTCTATCTATAAGCCTGGTATCAACAAAAGCTTGACTATGAAGAATTTGCGAAATGAAATCAAACATTGTTAGATACAAGGTTTGATGTTTGTAGTAGCTTTGTGCATATTATGATTAAAAAAATATCATACCATACTCCCTTTAAAAGTACGAGTTCGGAAAAATCTATCGGTAGACAAAAATACCCCTATAAAGTTTAAACTATCCTAATACTAATCAAATTCTAATTTTTAAAATATTTTCTAAAGATAAGTGATTCAAAAGGTGGCCGCTTAAAGAAAAAGAAAAAGAAAAAAAAATAAAACCCATAAAATATATTTATGCACTATCTTGATAGGTCTGTTGAAATTAATTTTTAAAATATATTTCTAAAGATGAGTGATTCAAAACGTGGCTACTTTACAAAAAGAGAAGAAGAAGAAAAAAAAAGAAAAGAAAAAAGACGCAAACAGGCAGCTATGTAAATAGATAAGATAGTATTAGACAGTGTAGATGAAAGATGAAATAATTGTAGATACTTTCTATTACTTCTAATTGGGAACTATGATGGGATTATAGTGTAATATTGAAGAACCACATACGAAAGCCACAGTCTTGGATAAGTCTCATATCATTTTTAGTTTATGGAATACTTTCAGTTTGTACTTATTCTACAGTCTTGGATAAGTCAATCTTTATACAAAGAGAACTCTAATTGTAATCGTTATCCTATCACATGCAACACCTCATGCCTATATATAAACAAAGAAATTACACAATTTTCATAGTAACTTTATCTCCTTCAACATATATGTTCCTTTTATCTTCACAGTAATATTTGTCAATTATTTATAACAATTTGTCCTATTATTTCAGAACATCTTTTGTTAGTGTCTTCTTCAACAGGTATGTCGTATTATTGTCTTCATTATTTTTCTTTAGTAATATTGTGTATTTGATTCAATTGCGATATTTATTATTTACTAGCTTGTATTTGCTTAATTGCTTTTACCTTTTATTAGTAAGATTAAGAATTAATCACATAAAAATAGGTTGAATTAATAGATAAAATTATGCACATGGTTAGAAATATATTTATTTATAGGAATAGATAGGTCATAGGGCTTGCTTGCAAATATAAAAGGTTGGGGGTTTTCTGTGAAAACTGCACACAGGAGCTTGGTGGCCCCGGTAATCTCATGGGCTGGAGCCTGGAGTTTCATGCTTCCATATACACATGGATGAGGTTATATAATATCATAAATTAAATATCAACTCAATTAAGCCAAGAAAAAGATCCCCAAAGACTTCTAACTTAAATCAATTTCATAGCAGCCCCCATTAACCTACACTCCCTTAATTTATATTAACCTAATTTTTGTGATCTAATGGTGCCGGTTAGAAGAGCCATGTGAACTAAATGTCCTAATATTTATATTAATCTACAAGAATATAAATATTTTATAGAATATAAAATATTCAATTGTTATCTACTCAATATCTTTAATCATGTATAGTGCATAGGTTTATAATTAGTTTATGAATGTATCTCTTTACAACGTTTTTAATTTTATAAGCAGAATACACAATACAACATGTATGGTTATTACCTTGGTAACTAAAGGTATATTCTATGCTGCGAATGTGTTAAAACTATGGTTATTTAACGACTTAGGAGTCCCTTAATGGACGAACTCCTTTCAATATCTCAGAACTATAATTTTTTGAAATTTATAAAGGAAACCTCAAAATTTTCAAAACTTATAATTGGGAAATAAAAAAACCTAAATTTTAAACACCTCTGAATTAATAAAAAACTTATAAAGAAGAGGATCTAATATCAATTTTATGATTTAAGGGACTAATTTCAATATAACTTGAGTGTTGCCTACCTAAGAAAATAACATATCAACAAGTAACTTTAGTTAGAAAGTTGATACACCTGTTGTAGACAACTGTCATCTAAGATTCTAAACAAATCTGCATTCTCTTTTGCCATCTTCAGTCCTAAGCTTGTTAGATGCATAAGCAACCCAAGTTGAAATGTGTGGAATTATTAATAGTAGAAGCACACCATATTGATAGCTTACAGAAATAAAAGCATTAACCATGAACAAACTCAGATATTATTTTTGTAGTTAATCCATTTATCTTTCGTCTACATAATGTAACATTCAATTGACGTATTATATAATATTATTTTTATTATGGTAATTATAAACTTTTATTAATAAGCATTGATCAGTTTCAACGTGATGGCCTGATTATAAGAATCAAATAGGGGCAACCGAAATAGGTCTTTGGAGTATTCTATCAATTTCAAATATTACAACAAAAGTAACATTCAATTGACGTATTCTATAAATATTGTATTTATTACTATAATTATAAACTTTTTTGCAACCATGGTATATTAAATAAATAAAAAAGGTAATTTGCAAAATCAAGATATTTGACCATCCACATTCAAAAATTTTAGAATTCATAAGTGCATTTTGCAAAAAACTTACCAAATCTTCCATATTTTTCAAATGGACCCCTCTAGCTTATATGTCGACATATATAATTAAGTTCTCAATCTTATACAATACTCTCTATCACTAAAAGACATTATCCATATTTTGCTCATGCACTGCCCAAACTTACAAGTGTAGTTTTGCAGTTAAGCCCCATCATACTTCCAGTTTTGCATGATACCTCCTATTGATTTTCTAAATTAACCACAGGTCATATTATCTATATTCACCTTAAAAAAATTCTAATTGTGATAAACTATTGTGCATCAATATTTTTTTAAATAGTTTTTATGGTTTTTTATTTTCTGA